TTACTAAAATTACATGCACTTTCTTTTTGAGTTGTTAAAAGAAAGGGTCACTCAAATTATAACTACAGTGCAGCAGTTAGAAGTAATGTCACAGAAATTAAATGCACAATCATTTTATTATCAGTTAGAAAGATGTTACAATTATGTTCAGCTGTTCAAAAAATAGACACTGAAAATTAAGTGATAAATTATTTGAATTCTTTAGCAGTTAGAAGAAATTGAAATTACATGCACATTTATTTTGGTTATCAGATAGGTAAGACAGGTAACTAAAATACGCGCCAAATCATTTTATACATTCTTATATATTATTTTATACATCTTGCCATTTAGTTTTAGTTTCTTATTTTCAAAATTTCTTCTTAATGATACGTTCATCTAACTTGTGATCTTACAGATTCATTACTGATGTGTGACACAGACATGTATTGGAATGGGTTTCGATGTTACAGATGTTCGTATATATGTACTAGTATTCCCTCTGAATTCTGCAAGAAAGAATGCCCCTGTATGTAAAATATTGATTTTGTTTCTTCATTTTTAAAAATTGTAGGCCAGCAAAAGATCGTTAAGTCATAGTCCTTTAAAAATAAAATACATGTAATTAGCCATTTGCACATCATTTCACCCCAGTTGATATTTATAAATTTCCTTTGGTGTAACTGGTAAATTACCACGAACATATTTATTATGCTTTTACACGTAATTTTATTACGGAATTAATGCCATTTTAAGAGTTATAGGGTTTGGGGCGAAAATGAATTCAACTGTCTAGTTAACATGGACAATGCATTGATACAATTACACGATTTATTTAGCATTAGTTCTTACTGAAAGAAACTTGAAATTGTAATGTTTTTATCAATAATGAATATAAAGAACACTGAAACTTTATATCCCTAAATATGGCGTCATCTCCCATCAGTGCTATTAGTAATAGAAAGAGCACCGAAACACGAGGCTATCTGATTTGTACGAGGGGGCGTAGTGTTTTGGTGTTCTTTCTCTGTAGTATCATAATCAAACATAAAAGGACGTTCCCTGTTGTCACAATATGAAACCCCGGCAAACATGAACCAATGAACGAACATCTGAATATGACATTTCTGTCGCTTTCCCTTTATCTGCCGCCACAATTATGTAAACCCCAGCAAAAATGAGCCAATCAATGGGCATGCTCTTGAGTGCGGGTAACTAATATCCGCACTCCAGTTAACGCACTGTGCATGTATATGTATACGATTTAACCCTGACACATTTTCAACAGAAAGGTCTCCAAACTATGATACAATATATTTTACCTCAATTTGTTTAATTATTATAAGTTAAATGTACAAAATACCCCTTTTTCCAGATTACACAACGCCGAATACTGATAAAAACATATCTGAATCGAAAGTTTGTAACAACAGTACGAGTATGTATTAAAACAAATGTTTTATATGAACGATATATGCTGATCTTTCATTTTAGTACTTAAAGTAGTCTACAATAATACAACACTCGCATTTTTCGATTTTCAAAAAGAAACAAGCTAATGTGATAAAATAATGATACATAGAGTAATAATAAACAACTCAATTTTTAATAGATATTGTATACATCTTATCTATTATAAATATTAATTATTCTTTCAAGTATAAGTTGAATTTCATTATTTTTTTACAGATTACGTAACGACTAACACAGAGAAATACATATCTGAATCAAATGGCTGTGACAACAGTAACGTGACCGTTATTATCATCTTAGTTATTGTCTTGATTCTTTTGATTGTGAATACTGTCATTCTTTGTTCTACGTCCAAATATTTGCACTGGCAAAGGGTGGCAATTGAGGATCCTCCGTATATCAACGAGTCTGTGACATCTCGACCCCTTGACACCTCGACCCCTTGACAACTCGACCCATAAGACATCTCGACCCATGACACTTAGACCCCTAAGACACTTAGACCCCTTTAATTGACTGGACATTTCGACCCTTTTTTCTAAAATGTACTTGAAGACGTTAACTTCGAAAAAAAAAATGTGCATAAAGGCGAAAATATAGAAAAAAGGTAAATTTGTTGACAAGTTTGATTATTATATATACAATCTTATACAATACTGAATAATAAGTGAAATCATATTAAGTCGTTATTTGTTATACACAATCGTTCATCAAGTCAAGTATTTTATACAAGGAATAGAAACACTCGCACTACATTTAACCCTTTCACTGCCATAGGGACGGCTTATGCCGTCCCTGTTCTTTTCGGCGTATTTGCCATATGGACGGCTGTAGCCGTTTCTATAATAATAGTTGTAATAATAATAAATTAATAATAATAATAAAGATAATAATAAATATAAAGAAAATTATAACATCGAGAAAAATTATTATTATTATACTCACAGATTTGGAAACATAATATAATTATTATAATACTAATAACAAATAATAATAATTATATCAATTAAAAATATAGTAAAACAATAACCACTGGCAGCGAAAGGGTTAAAAAAGTAAATATTATATAAAATACTTGACTTGATGTGTATATATGTACTCATAATATCATAAATAACAGTAATTGCAATAGAAATTGTTAACATTTTTTTATGATACAAATATCTATCAGTCGTTTTGTAAGGCAAATATTGTCATCATTTCCATGTGCACTTGTTAATTTCTGTAAATCGAACTACTTATATCAGGAAATCTTAGGCTTATTCGTTCTTTTAATACTTGATTTTAATGAAAAAAAACATGTATGTGTGTTGTTATACATGAAATAAAAATATATTTTCGAGAACGTTGTAAACACACTTTTACTTGTATCGGTTAAATAAGACTTACAAAACAAAAACGAATTATAAATATCATGTCAAATATAAATTTCCTTGTATATAGGCTGTTACATTTCTTAACAGTCATTTAATCACAAGTATTGACTTATTTTATAAATAGGTGCCGACAAAAAAGATGATAAAAACTAAATTCAAACTCAACTCAAATAATTTTATTGCGTTAAACATACAATATATGTTTATAGCACATACAATATAACTATGGCAGAAGACATTGATTTTTCAAGGAGCACAAAAATACGATGTAAAACATATGAATTTATAATTATGACTTGTTTTTAGGTTCTGTAAAACTATTTTCTAATCACATTTGCATAATATAAATATTTAGAAAGATCTCTTACAATTATTTTAGATTCAGACAATAATAGATTAGTAAATTTCTGCAATGTAGGCCATGTATAATAGTAGCGTCTAAGATATTTTTTGCGAAGGTCAGCATATTGTGAGCATGTAAACAAAAAGTGAAATTCGTTTTCAATTTGCCTCAAAGAACAATTATTGCATATTCTTTCCAGTCTAGGTACGTTTGTATATCTTCCCTTTTCAATAAACAAGTCGTGAGATGATGTGCGAATTTTTGTAAGCGCAACTCGAAATCTTTTGTCCTTAATATAATCAAGATAACTTTCAAATTCAAATTTATATTTTATAGAACTGTATGTATCTAGACGACTAGAATTATTGATAGAACAATACCAACTTTGATAAGAAATATCAAATATGCGTCGTTCAATAATATTGAAGTCAATTAACATGCTAGATTGGTTTTGCCAAATATACGAAAGTCCGCATTTATCAAGTATAATTTTAATTTGATAAGCCCAATTTATTATATACTGAAACAAAAAAGAAACGTTCTCCAAGTTTGAATGTAGATATGTTAGTACAGTTTTCAATCCTTTTGAAACTCGAATTTTACGTTGAATGAACATATCGGGCTTTTATACGGGGGTTAGCAAACAAAACGAGTTTTACAAGCTACAACATGTATATATTAAGTGTGTACATCTAAGTGGTACCCTTGAACATCTGGCACGAACATTGCGAAAGTTTCTTTTTTGGTTCAGTATATGTGTTATTTCCGTCAACATCGACTTTAAGCATGTTATAGGTTTTGAAAAGATGAGATTCTTTTTTTACATGTCAATAATTTTATCCAATATTTTACCGTAAAATAACGAGAGCTGAAAATCCATGCCTCTACCCGACAAGGGCAGTTAACTCTCATCTAAATAGCAACAAATATAAAGGGGGTCAGTAAACGTTTCCGTATAAGACTGAATGAAATTATGTAAACGTTAAAATATCTCGTTTATGTGTCACAGGGTCATTTTGCATTAAATGAATATACCTTATCATTATTATAGAAGAATAAAAAGAAGAACGTTTATTTATCACTGTAACTACAAGTCTTTCGTGATTAACATATAAACAAGCATACATATATAATGGCATGAACAAAACATTAACATGAAAGTTAACATGATATATTTGATGGACGAAACAAAATATAAATGACAAAAATAAAAAGCATGATGGCTAATACATACTTTTCTATACACAGTAAACAAACTTTTCATTAGTTTTGACCTGTAAGGTATATATAAAAGTAGATTGAAATACATATACATATCTAAGCATTAATATTCTGGTATTGTAATTTGAAAATCTGGAAACAAAGTGGTCCCTCGGAAGCATTATTTACAGCCGCATTTATATTTTGACAAAGCATGTTTGCTTTCCGGAACGGTTACGCAATTCGGATTCGGCTTTTAGCTGTAATTGGAGGTTATGTACGGTATCCACCCCATTGTATGGAATGCCGGTAGGGACATGCCAATTTGCTTATTTGCCAATTGCTGAATTGCTATTTGCTATTGCCGATTTGCTTATTTGCCAATGGCTGATAGGCTTAATGACAAATTTGCTTATTTGCCAATTGCTGAATTGCTAATTTGCTTATTTGTTAACCACTTGTTTACGTATTGCTTATTTGCCAATTGCTCATTTGCTTTTTTGCAATAGAAATAGTTTACACTGTGCCAGAAGTATATGGAAAATCTGACAACAGACAACCAGTTGAGTCAGATCTGTTAACTTTTACCAACAGTATTCTTGTAAATTCAATACTGTTGGCAATGAATTTAGTTGCAGTGATGCCTACGCAGATATATGTCTACAACTGATGGCTGACATGCCCTTGAGAACACAGACGCCTTGGTTCAGATCCCGTACCCCAACGTGATACGCGCCTGTAAACACTCTATTAAATTTTTTATAATATTTAATCACGAATTGGCATCGATAAAACTGGTTTTCAAACAATTTTTACATATGCCGGTATGAAAAATACCATATACATGTACCACCAAGTCTCAATAAAGTACTTAATGGTTTTATCGTTGTAACAACAGATTAATGTAATATAACTCCGTGTTGTAACGGATGTCCAATTCGTATTTGAATATTAAAATAATTTTGATATAGTGTTTACAGAGGCGTATCACGTTGGGGGCAGGATCTGACCCGCCAGCATCTGTGCTTGAGAATGCCTAATAATGTGTTGCAGCTATAGATCTGTTTGTGCAGAGATTGATGGCATAATAAACACTTGATTAGTAATATAAAAGTGAAAATTATTGGGTAAAGATTGAAAATAAAAGAACTTGAAAACAAAACTATTTCTTATTTTATGGCATATAAAATGTCGTTATTCTCAGCAGATTTGTCACAGAGGGCCTCATTTTATCGGTACGAACACATAGTATCACGAATGATACATTTGGTGCATGCTTAACACGGGTGTTTGTCTTTACACTTTAGCAATAGGCTTCGTTTTTAGCTCTGTAAGATTTTGAGATCACTTATGTCTGTGTGTGCATCAACATTTTACTTTGGTTTAATGTTTTTGAAATTGTGTCACACTTTTCCATTTCTTCATGTTGTACATTCAGGTACGTATATCATGTTAATATACGTACCTGGTACATTTTACATGCTATCAGGTGACCATGACCATGCTCATGACCTAGGGTATAATGGACAAAGCCTCTTTGAATATTGTGTATGCATGCTGCCTATTTAATGCTTATGTGAAGTTACAGTTAGATATAAGCAATAGTAACAGAGATATGACAGAAACTAAGGCTTCTCATTACAATACATTGGTGACCTTGACATTCATTATGTAACGGGCACAGCTTCTTCATGTACTTTGTATGCATGCTTGTAACGCAAAGTTTATGCAAAGTCGCAGTAAGATACATGAATCAGCAAAAGTAACAGAGATATGACAGAAAAACAAGTTACCAAAAAAACCAATGCAGTGGTGGGTAGGATAGCATCCCTATTCTCTGAATAGTGGAGCAAAAACTGAAACTCAAGATAATTAAAAAAACAACTAGAACTACTTTCTGAAACTGAATTTTTTTTTTTCGAAACTGATTAAAATGTATCCATCTGTCTTTCTACCTATATTCTAGGTAATGATGGATTGATCACAATTGTCACAAGTTATAATTAACAAAACTTTATAAACATAATAACATGATATAGGTTCATGAGCTTGAAATAAAGTCTACAAAGACTTGTTATTTTATATCAAACAAGAACTTCGCGAGTCGGACGTGTCACTTGACAATATCATAAACATTAATGTATATAAGCAAATAAGCAATTAGCAAATAAGCGAATTGGCAAATCAGCAAATTGGCAAATCAACAATTAGCAAATAAGCAATTAAGTAGATGGCAAATAAGCAAAGTGGCATGTCCCTACCGGCATTCCATACCATTGTTTACACACCGGTCTCTCAAATATCGGTGTACACATTGGTATCCGCCCACGATAAACGTCGTCATTAATGTATAAAATGAACATATTGGGCGAATTCACGTCTCCTTGTCTCGTGCCAATGTTACACCTGATCGGACGAAGATTCGATCGCATGATATATTTTTCGTCTATTGTTATTAAACGATGTATTTGATACTTTGATGTAATTTTCTAACTTTATATACATTGAAATAAGAACTTTAATTAAATTTCCATTTGCACCCTTACTTTAAATGTTATAAAATATATTATAACGTACTCGGGAGTCGGGTGCTTTTTTAAAGTCTATAAAGAACATAGAATCTACCTTGTGGCCTTGATTTATTTAATTCAACAATATTATTTTTAAATAACTGTTCCAAATCATTTAGACAGACAATTGCCGTTATTTCAGAAGTCATTGTATTTTGTATCGAACCAGTTTTTACTAGGGACCAAAATTCCTTAGGATCATTTCTTGAATGTATAAGCTTATTTCTATTTTCAGATAAATTCGTTAGTTTCTTATTACGACATGTATTTTTGGAATGCCTCATAGAAACTTTATATAATTCGTAGTCACGGATATTGTTTGTTAACCTAAATTGACTTAATAAAAGATTTTTATGCTCTTTGCTTTGTTGACACTTTTGGTTGATTAGACTGTTTTTTTTTCCCGTAAAACAAACATTAGACTGAGCGTAGCAGACGAACGGTATATTTCTATCAATGACGAAACTGCATCATTTATATCATATTCTATTTTTTTGGAAAATTACATCTCTGGATTGAGTTAATTTTCTATAAGTATCTTTGAACTTATCCTTCAATTCAATGTTTTCAATAAGAGTAGTATTTGATTGAGGTACATTGACAACAGGCTCGCAAATAGATTCAAACTTGAACCGACACATTAAGGGAAAATGGTCGGATTCATCGCGCATTTCTACATTAAAGTATTGATATGACCGAAAATAATTCAGTTGATGCTATATGATAGTCAACCACACTTAGTCCATCATAAGATACACATGTAAAGTTGCCTACTTTATCACACCCACATCTTCCATTTCACTACTCACAATTATCATAATGCATTCAGAATATGTGAAAAATAGGTGGCTTCAAGTCACTAAAGAGTGGTTGCTATGGATACCTTTTATTCTTTTTAAGTACATTTGTGTATTAAATATCCATCCACCTACCCAGTATTGAGAGCGAAAATAAGTTGTTTTGCAAGTATACGAATTTCCATTTGATTTAAGCAGAAAATTCATACCGCGACTTTATCCATCAATCCTCGTAATAATGATTAAGATTTACATAATTTATAGTATGTAGTTTGAAAAATACAATATCAAAACTACTAGTGAATTAATATCAAAACTACTAGTGAATTAATTTTCTTAGCAAAGTGTTAAATACAAAATGAAGCATGTAATTTACAAGTTGTTGAAAATTTACTTTTGCGAGAATGTCATTACTTTTAATGAATTAAAATTCGAAACAAAATACAACATCAACAGCAACAACACTTGAAATGTTTTTGGTATGAACTTTATGTGTGTTACTTCCTTTTAGATCGTTATCATTTGTCTCATGTTAAATTTATTTATTTTCCTTGTTATATTTTGTTTTCTTTACAAGATATAGTGGTGCATACCGCAACTAACTGAATTTCGGGTTGGATGTAAAAATCGTTGATCAACTGAAAGCATTGTTAACTAAAATGCTTGTATTTGTTATATTTCTCGCTTGTGTCGCGTTATCGGAATGTTCCTATGAAGAAGCCATCCTACAGAAACTGTTAAAGTTTGAAAATGTTGTGCAAAAGATGAACAACGAAATTACCACATTAAAGAAACAGGTAGACACTCTGAAAGGAAATCAACATATGACAGGTATGACAATTGTACTGATATATCCATTTTAGATAATGCAATGACAAAAGGAACAAGATAAAAACTAAAACTTAAGCTGATGAAAATCTTTAATTTTACATGCGTTGTAAACAGAGCTGCACCAGTACTAAGGGTGTCGTACTTAAGTACCAGTACCAGTACTTGGCAAATTATGCAGTACCAGTACCAGTACTTGGCAAATTATGCAGTACCAGTACCAGTACTAGATTTTAGCTTGGTCCTGCAGTACCAGTACTATTTTTGGTGAAGTAATTAAGTATCAATACCATTACTTTTATATATTTTTCAAAGTTTGAATAAATACAGTGTCAAACAAATGATTGCAAATATTATTCAGCAAAGAAATAAAATCATAATTTACTTTAAAGTTTAACATAACATATTTACAACTTTATAGTTTTAACATACTTTTTACAAACAATATTTACAACATATATTCATGTCATAGTAACCAGTCAACTGTATAAATACAATGCAAACATCTTTCATTTAAAACACAACAGTCTTTTGTTGCCTTTCACATCTTTACACCTCTGTTCAATTTATACCAAAGTAAATAACAACTTTTTATGGTGCTACAATATCACTTTTTCACTTCAAATGGGATTATTTAGAATAGAAGAAATTAATTAGTGTTTATTTTGTTCTTTTACTAGTAAATGCAAAGTAATAAAAGATTTTAATAAGGATATTTTAGGGTAAAGAGTTATTGAGTCTGTTTATTTTAGTTTAATTTTTACTTAAAGTCTTTGGTGCTTTTTATGATGAATACTATGTTAACATTTGAAGGAATATTGCAGCAAATTATCTTCAAATTTGATAACTTACTTTTTCACAAAAATAAAATATAGTTAATGTAATTTACAGCTGTATTTTATGAGAAAAATTGATGCTATTTTTAATTTTTATCAAAACCAAAAGTACTGGATAATGCAGTAGCAGTACAACTTTTTAAGACAGTAATGCAGTACCAGTACCAGTAGTAGCAAAATTTTGTAAGACTAATTCAGTATCAGTACCAGTACTTGCAAAATCGCTGCAGTACGTACTGCAGTACCAGTACCAGTACCAGTAATGCAGCTCTGGTTGTAAAGCATGTATGAAACTAGATGGAATAGCCAAAAATATATTTCTGATTATTTTTACTATTCCTAGTACAATAATTTATTCTTTTAACAGAAATAAGCATGCAATACATGTGAATGACAGGTTCTATTGACAATTTTGTTTGCTTTATGAGATAGATATTAAACAATCTAAATAAATTGATTTCAATAATTGCGGAATGAGAATATGTTCTTGACGTCTTGAAAAATGAACAAAAACGGATTTCTTGGTTATATCTCAGATGGTAAACTTCAATGATATTTACATTATGAATGGTAATATAAAAGTGATCCTCGGAAGCATTTAAACAGCAAAATTAAATGAAAATTGCAGATTTGGGTTCATTGAGTCTGTACATGATGGATAAAGTTATATAAAGATAATGTAAACATGCAATATCTCTCATGTCCCCTAGCCCCGGCTTGATCTATTATTAAACATAATTACAAAGTTGCACAAATTCAGGCGCTACCTAATGCGATCCCTTCATTTCAGAAAGTAGCTTTCTTAGTAGCTTTCTTAAAACATTTCTTTGACCAGGGTAATTTGATGTTTTATGATAATTTCCAACTATCTTAAATCTTTTGAATTAATGAAATTAAAATCATTAAAAACCAACAATAAATAATTAAAGAAATAGTAATAAAAATAATTACAGAAAAGAGAAAATACCTTATTAAAAATCAATTGTTGATAAGATACATTACGTGTCTTGAGTTTCATACCCTTAAGAATACACAAACATATAATAAACACATTCTTTTTATATTAGATGTTGAAATACACACGATTTGACTTCTATATGTATTTATGTCTTATTTTACATTTTAGACTCTGTCCGTACTCAAACGGTAGCGTTTCATGCTAAAGATGTCATCAATATTGCTCCAACTGTCGGACAGAATTTCATATTCAAAACTAACTTGTTCAACTTTGGAGATGGGTATGACAACCAAACTGGCATTTTTACTGCACCTAGAAATGGCACATATCTTTTTACAATCCACTTTTGCACGACCGATAGCCTCCATCTTCATTACGAGATCACTATGAATGGAACTCCATTGAAGCGAGGCTGGTTTGGCAAATCAGTTAATTGTTTTACAACAACTGCAATTTCTGTGCTAGAGTCAGGAGATGGTGTATGGATGAAACTAATATCGTCGCCTACTAAACTGTACAATAGTGAATTTTGGTACAACTCGTTTAGTGGAACAATTATCAATAGCTAAATTTCTGCAAGCTCCTGATCATTCAAATTATCTTTCAAAGGTGTCTTAATTTTATTCTTTAATATGTTTCTTATCACTAAATCATGATGTGTGTTATTTCTTGCTTCTATAACTTTAATTATTATATACGTATAAATGAAATATTGAGAAATATTGATGAAATAAAATGCGTATTTTCATTTTCCGTATTTTTACTGTAAAAATTTATTTTTCACTGCATGAAACATTTTCCGTATTTTCACTGGTGTCTTGTTTGACTTCTTTCTTTTAAATTCTGCCAATACACAAAATGTAAGGGAATTTCTTTCAAAATATAATGTCAAAAAGAGAAAACTGTATATAATAAACAGAGAAGTCAAGTTTTTTTTCTGTGAATACATGATGTATTTACATCTTGTGGCATGAAAAGTATCATATTTCACTTGTGACTACCGCCACTCCACCACGTATTTATTTTCATACCACTTGATAAAAAATATGTATTTATAGAAAGTAACTGGAATATCCTCTCTCAATATATATATATATATATATATATATATATATATATATATATATATATATATATATATATATATATATATATATATATATATATATTATATATATATATATATATCGTTTTTTTAGAAAATTTCTGGAAACTATTAATCTATAATTATCTGCTCCACAACGTTTTCAATCTCCAGCTTTTCGAGAGGTTAAACCCCTATTTATAAAACACAAAACTTTGATTGATACGTTTTATTGTCTAAGAATAGATCATGATATAATCAAAAGACTAACCAAAAACTTCAAATAAGTGGCGGCATGGCCGAGTGGTTAACGCGTCGGACTAGTAATCTAATGATCGCTAGCCGTATGGGTTCAAACCCCGTCAGGGGCAAGTCGTTGTTTGATTGAGCAAGAAACTTTACACTCATTGCTCAGTACTGGTTGGTTCCAGGAACGGATTCGAAATTGTGTCTATAAGCGAATAGCTTTTTACACAATCGAACTAAAATAAATTCTGTATAAACCAAAACTTCAAATACGCAAACGTTATATAATAGATGACACAAGGTTGGACAACAGAAACCACCAAACTGTCCAACCATAGGAGTAACGATAGACTGTGAAAAGCAACGAAAACAAAAGAGTGACACTATGGATGATGACATAAAGTTTACATTTTTAAATTTACAAACAAAAATATACGATAACTTTGAATCATATTGTCTACATATAAAATTCATTTATTATAACTGTGTATAGTATATAATCATATAAGTATGTAAATATGATCTTTTATTATATTTACCTATAGATGTAAGCTTTGCTTACACGTCTCTTATAATTCTATATTGAATGGCATATGTACCTTTACCAGTTTTATTCATTTCTATTGTGATATATGTGTTGTACATGTGATGAGACGTAAATAAACCATTTTGAATTGAATTTGAATTTGAATATAAAAATGATTTACAAAAGTAAAATTACAAAATTACTCTTCTTATCACTATTATTACTGCTGCTGTTGTTGTTGTTATTATTATTATTATTATTATTATTTTTATTATTATTATTATTATTCAGTAAATGATGAAAACTTGCCGCTACTGTCGAGTGTTCTCCTCTTTCCATAATTTCAATATAACTTACTATAAAGGGTATAATAACTTCCTTTTCCAAATTTGCGTACATGTGCCATTCGCTCATAGGACAATAAACAATATTTTCATCTACGTTTTGACCAAGAATTTTGTTATTATTTTTATTATATTTTTTATTTATTACATGCAGCCTATTTATAGCTCTATACATGTTAAGTAAAATTTGATACATGTAGAGTTATATTAAAAAATGAAATAAAGCAAGAATGTTAAAAATAGTGTCCCTATAAACACATGGTATCTTATCTTATCAATGTATATTAATCACAAACTGTTTTCAAGTAAACATAAATTCAATATAAAGTTATGTTTAACGTGTAAGAAATACGTAGTTAATGAACATTGTAATAAGTTAAACTAGTGATTATCCTACAAAAACATTTTAATTAGTTAGATTGATCAATTGAATTCAATATATAAGCTATAATTAAAACGTTATAGCAATACATAATTAACATATACTTCAATATGTTGAACTAGTGTCCAAACTGAGATTTGATTTATTAAGACATTTTATTACTTAAATGAATGCATAGTTTGACAACATACACCTCAATAATGTAAAACCAGTATCTAAACAGAGATTGTCTGATAAATAATGTTTCTTTAGTTTGTATAAGATTACCCCCATCCACTAGCTGTACAGTGTTAATATAACTATTTCAATATATGCATTTAATATTGATGAAATGTAAATTAAATTCACAAAACGTTGAAATTTGACAGTTTTCACATGTACATAAACCATTATTATCTGTTTAATATCATGTAACGTACATCTTTCAATAAATTGTTGATCTACAAAAATATTGTATTACCCCACCCACTTAAGTTTTTAATAAATTTATGAACGATTAAAGTATTTTCTTAAAAAATCAACAGCTTTTTGATTACTTTATGTTACTATAGGGATAAATTAAGCTATATTATAATGCATATTATATATAAAACTGATTGGAATATTGTATGTGTGTATTATTTTGAGTTCAAATTAGAAAAATAAATACAATGATACCAATATATTTGATCTCAATTTTTGAAAAAAACATTCCCCAGTTTAGATTTTTCTAGACTTTTGATATGATATACAATATAGGTCTGGGGTTTCAAAACACTCAAAACATTTTCTGTTGCAATTTGTTTGAGGTTTGGCTGTATTTTGAGCTAGAATGACATATTTATTAGGGACATGCTGCATAATTTGAAAATAAAAACAAGGTTTGTTTGTTTGATTGGGTTTCATGTCACATCGACACAGTATAGGTCATATCGCGACGTTCCAGCTTTACTGGTAGAGGAAGACCTCAGATGCCCCTCCGTGCATTATTTCAGGCACGAACGGGCACCTGAGCAGAACCACCGACGTTCCGTAAGCTAGCTGGATAGCTTCCTCACATGAAAGAATCCAAGTCCCTGTCGGGATTCGAACCCACAGCGGTGAGGGGCAAGTGGTTTGAAGCCAACGACCTTAACCACTCGGCCACAGACTAGCACATGTATCTTTGCAAAGATTTAGACCACCCCAGAAATACTAAGCAGGCTATACCTCATGGCCTTGAAATTCATTGGAAAAGAATATGCAGTGATGATAAAAAATATTAATAAAGGTCATTTCTCGGAGAACAACTTAAAAATAACGGTTAAAAGGCAGGGTGAATAAATAAACAACTTAAAAAGGCAGATCAAACGTATATAACGATAACTGTCGTTTGGACGTACGTTTTGGTTTGCAATAAAGCAATTGTTATTTCAATTTAATTGGATAATATCTATTTTGACATGGTTGATGCAGGAACAACAGACAGAACATATAACATAAAGGGATTGAATAACAAAAACTAATCAAATCAATATTCAATTAATTGTTTCAAATGAACAAAGAATTTATGTCTATGAAACGAGAGACTAACCATGAAGTATTGTTTATTCATAAGGAGTAAGAAGAAATCGCCATATAAATAAAAGTGATATAGTAAGTAGAAAGAAAGCACACTTTTCCTTGAAATAAAAAAAAAACTACAATTCACAATTTAAAGGCACATTATGCCTCAGAAATCTTTAGAAATGTGAAACATGTGTTTAATAATGTTTTAATAAATTCTTACTAACGCAAATTTTTAGTAAAACGCCTTTACTTAAAAAATCAGACGTAAGTTAAAACTTACACAAATCTTAGGCGTTTAAATGTTGAAATTTTGCTCTGAATGTGCAGTTATGTGTCGTAAAGGTAGCAAAATGTAAACAAAGTAGTATTATGACTTCCCTACCAAATTCACATTCACTATGATTCAATCCAATTGTCAGCAGAGCAAAAGAAATGAAATATAGTTAATCTAAGTGGCAAATGAAAAATGAAACTGTAACAAGATAACAAAAATTGAAAGTTTCCTTACGAAATATTTTACGAAACAGAAATGATAGCATTTCTGGGGTATAATGGGTCTTAAAGATAACCATTTTAAAGGTTCAATGAACGAATTTAATTGTAGACAAATAGAAGCTGAAATTTACAATGTAATAACGCGGGATGTAATTTTGGCAGAGAGTATCTTCAATTACAAGTATTGGTTTCAGTTTGCGGTCTTATTAAACGGAACATGTCTTTTTCTAATATGTTTTTATTGCCTGACAACAGTTCTTCTTATTTTCTTTCAGTACTCGTTTACGTCTAAACTTTTATCAAAACCCCTCGAGCAAGGACACGAATGTCAGCCTTTGTACTTACTATTTAGGTGTGAAAATTCAATTGTATAACTCTTTTTGTTTACTAATGTGATAATGTATATAGGGACTTTTAAAATAGTTTTAAATCAGAGCGGGCTCTGTGGTGCAGTGGTTACACTGTCTGACTACAAATCTAGGGGTTGCGAGTTCGATCCCCCGCTACTCAACTAAAAATACTCACATTCTTTCATAAAGCATAATTCACACACAATCAACATTACAAAGCACTACTAAAACACTGATCGGCACACACACACAGGGTACTCTCGCACTGACACACGGGACACGACTCACACACTGATACACAAGACACGACTCACAAACAAGACACAACTGACACACAAGACACGACTCACACACTGACACACAAGGCACGACTCACACACAAGATACGACTCACACACTGACACACAACACTCGACTCACAAACAAACATACAAGACACGAGTCACACACTGACAAACAATTAGCCACCACTTACACACGGTACACGACTCACACACTGACACTCAAGACACGACTCACACACAAGACACGACTCACACACTGATACACGGACACGACTCACACAGTGACACACCAGACACCACTGACACAAGACACGACTCATATACAGACATACAAGACACAACTCCCACACTGACTGACACACGGGACACGACCGACACACAAGACACGAGCCACACACTGACACACAAGACACGACTTACAAACTGACACACAAGACTCCACTCACACACAGCCACACATGACTCGACTCACACACAAGATTCAACTCACACACTGACACGACTGAGACACTGACATACGTTACAAGACTTACATTCGGACATGACTGACAAACTGCCAAACGGATCACGACTCACACACAAGACACGACCCACACACTGACTCACAGGACACATACACACAGATGACATTTCAATCTGGCTGACACCCAGACACTTTGGCATACAGAGCACTACTCAAACACTGACTGACATACAGAACCTTACTCACACATTGACTCACAGAAAACGACTCACACAGTTACACACAAACACACTGACATATACGGCACTCAAACATACAGACATATACTGCATTACTCAAACACTGTAAGGAAAGGACACAAACACATAGGACGCTACTTTCACACTGACATACGATACACAGACACACTGACCTTGAACACAGACCACATGACTATGACCTGACACACAGCGAACAAAAACTCAAAGGACACTAAGCACGCACTGTTCTGACACACTGACCTTTACATATATACCACAGTACAGCCTCTACTTAAATATTGACACAAGATACTATGTACATTGTGAAACTTCTCACACACACTGAACTCACAACACTAACAGATTTAAGGTTCAAAGGTCAAAGTCACATTGACCTTGTACGTTAAAATGGTAATAAAAACATAGAGAGAAAAAATGTACTGGATTATACTTGCTGGTAAAATTTAGCTTTTTCTTCACTCATGCCCTCCACTTTTATACATACGTACATATCCATATCAGACAAAAAGAAGAGCTGCGATGTTTTTTTCAGCACTTGTTTTTTTGTATTTATAACTTCAGACAAAAGTGAGGTTTTATAAGTCAAAGACTTCATCTGTGATACAGAGTTTAATTCTTTGACCAACACTTTTTCACAAGGTCTCCCATTGTAATATATAAGTAACATTGGCAGGTGTGATAGTTGGCATTTATCAATTAACAATAAGCATTAAGCAGTCGCCTGTAATCATTAAGCAGTTGACAGTAAGCAGTTGACAGCGAGCAGTTGACAATAAGCAGTTGACAGTAGGCAGTAGACATTAACAGTAGGCTGTCGTTTATGGAATTCAGTAACCATGGGTCCAAATGTTATCACAATGAAAGAGCTAAAGCTACGGCTAAAGCTAGATAGCATTTAAACGCTGTTTAAATCATGTTACAGGGTAAATGACCCCTCCATCAAACCAAATCGAACATTCTCACTCATGCGACGGTTCAATGAATATTTCTACGAAAGACCGGTGGAGACATTTCAACTTCACAATGCACGTTTTGAGTTTCGTGAATTCATGATTTCAACTTCACGGATTCACGATTTTAACTTCATGAAAACAAATACATGTAGTTGTAACGTTAAAGTATTTGTTCTGGGGCATTTTATTCTGTTTACGTACAATGTTCATATGAATGTCAAATATTCTATATTAAAACTCATTCGAAAATATCCAACATAATGTTACACTTTATTTTTAAAAAAACACTTCATAACATATACTCGCACAGTATAGACATACACGTTTCAAAATAAAGTGCACATGTACAACTACTGCCATATCTTAATATACAAATTTAACAGGAGACAGTTACGAAAAGCTTAAGGTGCCTGGTTCAGGGCCCATTTTTGGGTGAGGTATTTCCCCAGCACTGACGGCGTCCACAGTAATTTTCCCCCTAATTTCACGTAACGGTCCTTTAATTCTTATCATTTCACTAAAATAACATGTCCCTTCCCTTCTTTCGCCGCCTTTGTTTTGTGTCTTCTGTGCTGGATTGTTGATCTTTGTTTCATCTTTTGACAAGGAAAAAGTAAAAGGGTTGTGTAATTTTTCAAAGATCGTTGAAATATTAGTTCTAATGAATATTAATTAATTGATTACTGCAGAGAATTACTTTGCCATGCCGAAAAGACAGAAAAAAAAGAAAGAGTGTACATTTTTTCTCTCGGTTTTATGCAATTATGAAAAACTCTTCAAATTCTTGTCTCTACGGTCAGCAAAACATTGCGACAAGCAATTTCCATGCGCTGTTGTATTATTATCAAAGGTGACTTAGTTGTTTATCTGCTGGTGTATTAAAGTGACATTATGCCATTCCAAGCGTATAATAGCGAGTGAACAGGTGAATATCAAAAAAAAGTTTTCATTTTGTCATAATTCCTTTTAATTTAATAATTTACTTCCCATAAATAATAAATAATGCACAGATCCAAATAAAATTTCTGATAATATCTATTAGAATTTACCTATAACGCTCAGTTTATAAAAGGAGTGGGGCAGTCTTTTTATATTTTAGGCAGATTTATAATTTTATCTTGAACATTTTCCAATATCAAATGTTGGTCAAACACCATTTTAACAGTTAATCTATTGAAATATCAAGTCAATTATGTTCAACTTGACTATGAAAATATGAGCATAATGTCACTTTAACTTATCATGACCCGTTTCTATATTTAACTCCGTCATAATCTTTGTTACAGTTCGAAAAAGGTTGTCTACCAATAAAATCGCTCTATTTTATTTAATTCCATACGGTGCTGTAACTCAACTGTATGTATTAAATACGTTAAATGAGCCGATTTAATGGACCCCGCCTATTTACATAGGTTTGAATATGCGGGGCTAGAGTTTTAAGAAACTAATTTTCTCGCTTCACTTCGTTCGCTCGAAAATTAATTTCTTAAAACTCTGTATATAACCTATAACCTATACTTATAAGCAAAGATTTTTAATTAATTTATATAACTGACATTTTAAATTATGCGTATACTGTAATGCGGCCTTTCCCGAGAGATCATCTCGTCTTTTTACGCAAGCTTAAATGTTCACAACCCCATCTTTGTCTGCTAGTCACAGTCTGAGCTGTGATGGACTAACACAAACTTGGCAGTTTTTTATGGAAGCATTGCTCCGTATTCGAGCGAGAGGCATTATTTTACCCTTTTAATGGTCATGCCGTTGTCAACAGCTGTACGCTCAATCCCAGGGACGGGTTTAATTTTTACGTTAGAAGAACGGTGGAGAATGAGTGTATGTCTGATTAATGAGGCCTTAGGAAGAGTATTAACAGCCGCCTGGTAGACAGAATACGTGGGAGGTCGCACATTAACTTATTTTGGTTTCTATAGAACTGATAACATGTATACATGTATATCACATATATTTTAGCTCCATATATACATATATAAACATACAGATTATCAAAAAAAAAAATCAAATAATGTAGGTTTAACGTAGGCTATCGTTTAACGTAGAAACATATTACAAACAGGCACCTCACAACTTAAATTATGGAGTATACTGGTGCCTCATATTTCTGTGGTACCCATACTTCCAATGTATATATTAGGCATAAACAGTCTAAAGTGCCTCCTAGACTTCATGAACAGTTTTACTATTTCATTGTATTTTTATCGAAATGTTACATAATTATACGACTCGAAAAAATATTATTTTTTTCACATTAAGAGCTAAATTAAGTAATTTATTTCACCATTTTACTCTTATATTTCATACCTTTGAAGACAATTGTCTTGGTTAAACAGCAATTGAGATATTTGATAAATGCCAAAAAGAAAATCCCCACTTTTAGACGAGCCCAAGTATAGGTGTACTAAAAAATAAAGATTAATTACTATTGGTTTTGCTTTTGAAACTGTTAAAATGTAATTGCCTTGGAAATATGAGAACACAACTTGACTCACTAGGAAGCAGATCGATGGGTGTTAATTACAATGTTGTATACATAATTGCTTGTACATGCAAACATTAAATAGAATACTTTATTATGCAACTGACATAATGGCTATCCTACAATAAATATTCAACGTGTTTTCCAGAATTTTATCCTTTTAACTTTTGATGTATAACCACGGAAATACATTGTATGAGGCACCAGTATACATATCAAAAGACATTAAAATATTGATCAAATTTTAACTTTGAAATCACTTATAATTGACTTTTTAGGTTCCAAGGAAATAAAAACTGGTATTATAATTTTGTTGATGATAGGAAAACGTTCGACTAAGTATAAATCGGTCACATTGTTGATGAAATGAATTGTACAATTGAGTACTGAATATAATATAGATAATATAATTATTATATTATTTATATATCCGATGAAAAATAAAGTCAAGTTTGATAAAATCACATGCATATGGTCAATCAATGTCAGATTAGATACCAATTCAATAGCTCGCCAACACGTGTACACGCAAACTGTAAAGCATATATTTATATAAATAATGTACAATTTACATGAATATAGATCTATATATAATATACACTGTATTTGACGGAAAGGGTCGAAATATTGCGATCGAGTCATACCGAACAATGACGGAGAAGGGCGATAGTAGCGATTGGTTAGATCAAGAATGTGATGCAATCTTGCTTTAAAACTATATCATTCCTCATTTTGTATCGAAACAGAATGGATTACTTACAATTTCCACGACATTTCTCGCTTCTAGTTTTTTTCAGTTTGTTCAATGGATTGAAATCGAAATGTGAGTAATTTTTATATACATATATCTTGAGCAAGATATCGCATTTTAGACATTACTACAGTCTATTCATAACGATTCTATTAATAGTTTCGTGGAGAACTCACAGAAATAAATGACATTTAATTGTTTATAAAATTCAAATGTATAAAATAACGTGTGTCAGAATGTTTGTTAATTGTTAACAGTACCTATCTATCTAATCGAAACTTATTTTAGTAAATGCGTATATAATAAAATGACAGTTTATCTGTTTATGTCTGATTTTCTAAAAATAGTTTTTGGGTTTCCATTTTATTTTCTATTTAACACTAAATGTTGCATACTGGTATCTCGCTAAATTCTATTTTTTTTCAACTAGAATATCCATCGCCATGATGATTATATGTTTAGGATTATAAACATGTACATAATATCATAATTTAACACACACAGGTTTGGCAAAGTAATCTATTTTTAGTTACAGTTTGGTTATTCCTCTTTCAAGGATCTATTTATATAGATGACGAATAAGCACATGACAATCTGCCTCTCCCCCCCCCATGAAGGATTGGTCCTGATTTAATACAATATAAATCCGTGTCAAAAGTTAAATAAATTATTGTATCCTTTTTGGTCAAAATTATCACTGCCCAAGTGTTCACTTAATATTAATTTTTATATTATTATAATTTAGTTGATTATTATAAATTATATAGAAAAATTATAAAACTTTAACAAAAGTAAAAATGTCTTATTAAGTTTGTCATACTTGTTAGCATCAACTTGTGGTCCTCTACAAATAAGTTATATATATGGCCTTGGGATCAAAATGGGCCTGACACGAGGTCAATTTAAGTTCATCTTAAACAAAAAACATGTTATCTTATATGAAAATAATTAATTCCTTGTAGTTTATACAGCTTACTGGACAACTTTCAAATGTTTACAAGTTTACAAAAGTGACAAATAAAATATCCCATGGGAAAAAAGGGACCTGAGTCTTGGGATCACTTAATTGATATAATTTAACCAGGCTCTAAATAATACAATGTAATAGGAAGCTTATAATGATGTCATACACTTAAAATTTGTACATTTTGTTGCGATGTTCTGATTATCGAGAAAAAAATACCAATATGTACATCTAAAAGGTAAAGGAATCTCTTTGAAGGGATTGTTGGTCTGGACAGGATTTGTTTTTCAAATTTCAAATATATTATATGTTTCTTATCATCAACCAGTTCATCATATGTGACAAGTTTTAACTCCTGGTGTCAGCGCCATTTTTTCCCATGAACTTAAATTAATTAGATCTATCATGTTTTTTTTTCTGTATTTTATAACTGTTCTTTATTTCTTAACCCATTACTTCATGAGCATTTTGTGAAAAATGGCTGTTTTCATTGAAAAATCTCCCGTTACAAGTTCAAATTGCTATAAAACTATAAAAACTGCTTCAATATACTAATCAAGCTTGGTACAAATGTTGACTGGACCATTGCCTTTGTAACAACATGCTCAGGCTTAAACTTTCTGTTACCATGGCAACGAGGGGGCATCTCAAAATTGCCAAAAATCACTATTTTGCATTGATTTTTTCGATCAAAATTGATTCAAAGTGCTGCAACTTCTCAATGTATTGAAGATAGAGTCAAATGCTTTTCAGCGTTGGTTACACATTACCTTATGATCAATCTGGGGTCATTTTTAGCCTCTCACAAGTCCAAAATTTTCTTGGCGATGAGGGGGACTGCCGCCCCCCTTCAAACCCCCCAAACGGAAGGAGGCACACCCCCCTTCTAACAAACCCCATCTTTTGTTGGGGGCCGCGCCGAAAAAGTGGTCACTTTTTTTAACAACATTTCTCAAACAAAAAAAATGTTGGGGGGGGGGGGGGGGGCTTATTTTTTAATAAGGCATTTTTTACCGTTTGAGACAACAAAAAATGAAGGGGGGGGGGGGGTGAAAAAGGCGTTAAACTTAGGGCGTGTATAATTATGGCATATTGGGTTACAGCTACATTTACTTCAAATAATTTAAAAAAAATGTTTCTAAAGACAATTGTGTGACATTGTAACATGAAGATTCTTAACTCTAGCATGAATATTTTCCAAAAGATAACTAGAGCTGTATGTCATCAATTATATACAATGTAGTTAGAGACAATATTTTTGTCGTTGATATTTTTCTGTTGATCAATACCGATATCATATACATTTAAAAAAAATCAAATATTTTGATTAATTATTTACCAGTAATTGTATATTTAGTTATGAAAATGACCCAAAAAACATTATGATACAAGAGCAGGTGGCCAATCAAACACTATACTGCTGTTACAAAATGGACACATTTTTTTTTCATAGCAGTGATTACAAAAAAGCGTGGCCTGAAACAAAAACATGTAAAAGACACTCATATACAGGACACAACATCATTAAAAAAGTTACATTGTAATATTTTCAAGACATCAGTGTCATTTATGACACAATTAAGATACAAAAGGACTCAATTAAAATCTTTCGCCATTTAATTGGCTTTATATATTTCTCATACTTTAATAGTCACTGTTTCACAACACTAAACAAGACAAAATAATGATGCAATTGCATGTACCTTAAATTGAACAAAAAGTTAATTTGAAGCTTATTCCCTCTTAATAATATTCACCCTTTAAATTATATTCTACTAAATATCTTTAAGTGTATAAAGTAATAATTACCGGTATATCTGCTGCAAAAATTACTGTATTGTAAGAATTCTTCCAAAATACTGACAGCATAAAATACCATAATTATGGTAGTTAATAAATGCCTTTAAAGCGAATGGTGCGTGGTTGAAAACTCTTCTCAAATATTTTGTTGCAGAAGCATTTTTATTCCATTTCACAACATATACAATATTCATGTGTGTTAAATTACAGAGACATTCTCTTTTGAGAAAACTGACCATGAAATGTTCAATTAAATTGAACCAATATGATTTTACAGTTGATAATAAATTTTATAAATATTTCATATAACATAATAATTATTAAAGCTATTAACTATACCGGGCCCTTTAAATGAACTTAAATTAATTGTTCATCTGTGACAGACTAGACAAATTGTGCCGCCTGATGTTCAAGGTCTAAATGACATTACTTCAGCTCATGGGTAGATTCATTTGCTGCCTGAGAAGATTAAAGGGTTATAATTTGCTCTAGATTTCACACAAACATTATAAAAACAGGGCATTTTTTGTCAGAATTCTTCATTTTGTGAAAAAAGCGTGATTTGTCATAGAATTGTGAAAAAAAAATTACATATTATTTGGCATTAAATTTTAGTGACATTATGAAACCGGAAAATGTCTTCAAGCCGGTACTTTAACCCGCTCAACATGTGCTTAAACCATTTAAATTGATTAAAACTATTTCTGTGTTCGCGAAATTGGCGTATTAATCATGATTAACTAGAGGGTAAACAATGTATTTCAAAGACAAGTCCCAAATTGAATATTTTGTGAAATTTCTTTTGAAATTGTGAATTTTTTTCTGCCACTTTGTGAAAATGAAAAAAAAGTGCAATTTTGAATTATAAAGGGGCCTTATATCGGCCCCTGTTATATAAGATAAAAAAGCCCTAAAAAAGTTTGAAAATATTTCTCTATTTTGTCAGAAGTTAGTTCACTCCCTTTTTCTTGGCCTGCTGGAACCCTATTAAACAGATTTTGATTACTAGTATCAGGTCAGTGAGAACTGATAAGAAGAACCATGAGTATGGTTATATTTGTGCAATCTCCTACACAGTGATCTCCCCTTACCAGTACAAACATCTCTGTCACCACACATTTTTGAAAAAATATTTAGTTGAAAATATTTTCTAACTTTTGAATTTATTTTTCATTATTTTGTATACTTTTGATATAAATTTGATAAACCGTAATAAACGTAAGGTACGAAGAGTTAAAAATAAAACAGAAAGAGAAAAATGACATAATTAGATTTTCCATGCAACGGTCAATAAAATACATTTCAATTTCGATGTGATTACAAATTTACAATCTACCAAGGAAGGTTATCACTGTGAGGAGTTTGATACTTGTGCAGATGTCTAAAACAAGTATGCATAACATGTACAATGTATTTAAATTATTTCCACTGTACTTAAGTTGGGGGGGATCTGCATGGCCAAGTGGTTTTATTTAATAAGGTTGTGACTTCAAACAACTTGCCTCTCACTGCTGTAGCTTTGAGCTAGCTGTCTGCCAGTGTCTGTGAGAAATTAGCTATCCAGCTAGCTTATTGAGCCAAATTAAATTCTACGGTATTGTTTGACCCAGAAATTATACCTTTTGTTGAAAACTCCCCTTGAAGGATTATCCTATTATTTGACTGAAATGTTCATCTAAACAAAAAAAGGCAATGTGCATAACCTGTGCTGTGGCTGCATTTCAAGGGCAGGGTCACACTTGAAGGACAGATGTGAGACAATTTTGTTTTCACCCTAATTGTCTTAATCCTATACCCCTTTAAGGATTTTCTTCAAACTTAGCTCAAATGTTCAGCTCATTAAGGTTATGTGCCTGTGCTGGTTTGTGATCAAACGACCTGTACCGGCTTTAGTTTAATTTATGATACTTAAAGAAATTAAAATAATAAATATCAATTGTTTCTGGTCAAATTGTTAAAAAAAATCAGTATATATATTGACTGATATATATATATATGCATGTTAGAAGTTATCTGTACCTTGTATATTTTTGTTGCAAATTCCAGGGCACCTTAATTTAGCTTGAGAGTCAATCAGTTCAGGTTAAAGTAAAGGTTACATTAATTAGCAAGATGTGTTTACTTGAATGTAAAATGTCAATATAAATCACAATTTATTCATAGATTTATATAGTAGTATTAACCATAAAAAGAATATTATCTACTCACTTAGTTAAACCAAAGTCTTCCTAATAATTTTTAAAGATATACTATCAAATTTGATTTTTAAAAATATTGATTAAATTGCTACATAGTCTCTGTCTATGTATAAAATAAACATGTTTTGACTGAATTTTAAGTAGATATGTTATGTTTTGAACTCAACACGCTACAGGTAGTCACAATATGAATATATAGTGTATTAAAAAAACTGGCAGTTTTTTAAGAAAAGACCAACTTTACTTGACCCTAATAGGGAATGCAGCTTTCAATACATAGTTTATTCATTATTTTATTCGAATTAAACATATTCTGTAATAATTTCATGGATTTCAATACATTTCTAAGATAGAAATATTTTACCCAAAGATGAGCATAGTATTTCTTTAAAGGCATATATATCAATTTTTTTTTCTAAATTTCCAATTTATACTTTTTAGCTCTACTATTCGATAAGAATATGTAGAGCTATTGCAGTCACCCGAGCGTCGGCGTCGGCGTAACCACTTATGTTAAAGTTTTTGTAATAGTTCAAATATTTTCAAAGTCCATTGACATATGGCTTTGAAACTTTGCAAACTTGTTCACCATCATAACCCCAACCTGTAGACAGGAGAAGGTAACTCTATCAAGCATTTTGACAGAATAATGCCCCTTTTTCGAGTTAGAATTTACGTTAAAGTTTTTGTAATAGTTCAAATATTTTCAAAGTCCATAGACATATGGCTTTGAAACTTTGCACACTTGTTCACCATCATGACCCCAACCTGTAGATAGGAGGAGGTAACTCTATCAAGCATTTTGACAGAATTATGCCCCTTTTTCGACTTAGAATTTACGTTTAAGTTTTTGTAATAGTTCAAATATTTTCAAAGTCCATTGACATATGGCTTTGAAACTTTGCACACTTGTTCAACATCATGACCCCAACCTGTAAACAGGAGGAGGTAACTCTATCAAGCATTTTGACAGAATTATGCCCCTTTTTCGACTTAGAATTTATGTTAAAGTTTTTGTAATAGTTCAAATATTTTCAAAGTCCATTGACATATGGCTTTGAAACTTTGCACACTTGTTCAACATCATGACCCCAACCTGTAAACAGGAGGAGGTAACTCTATCAAGCATTTTGACAGAATTATGCCCCTTTTTCGACTTAGAATTTATGTTAAAGTTTTTGTAATAGTTCAAATATTTTCAAAGTCCATTGACATATGGCTTTGAAACTTTGCACACTTGTTTACCATCATAACCCCAACCTGTAAACAGGAGGAGGTAACTGTATCAAGCATTTTTTTTACTATCAAGCATTAAGAATAGTCGAGCATTGCTGTCCTACTGACAGCTCTTGTTTGTCTTCTCAAGACAAAATTAATAATATAATTTGTGTTTATGTATTTCCAGATCAAGGCTGTAATCCTGAGCCTGTGAATGCATTATTCCTTATCCATGGAGCTAGCATTGAGTCCGGGAACCAAAGAAACCTTACAGAACTGTTAGTGAGAGATGTAACATCAAGTTTCCATAAAGATTCTACTACAAACATCTATTTACTGACAGAAACTGAGAAAGAACTTGTTGTAGATAGCAACTCTAGTGAAGATACTGTCATTAATAAAATCTTTGCAGAAGATATGAAATCTTCCACTAAATCAACAACACTATCTTCTGAAGCTATAAACAATGTTTTAGCTTCTACATTTTCAGTAAACCAGTATAAAAATAGGGCAGAATTTGTTATTTTACTGGTGACAAATCAAACAGAATTAGATGCAGTGTCACCTTTTCTTGAAAAGAAAAAGACAGTGGTTGTGGTACTTGGTTCGTCTATTCCAAATATATTCAAGTCTGTGGCGAGTTACAGAGAGGACTATCTCTACCAAGTTGGAAGTTTTGAAGAACTTAAGCTGGTCATTGAAAAGATAAAAGAGCGTATTGCCTGTGGTAAGTTTTGTTTTGTCCTTCATATTCCTTTCTGTCTAATGTCAAACTATTCACACCCATGCTGCCATTATTTCAGAACTGATTGAATAATTCTCTTTATTTATTAAGAGGAAACCCAAGTAACATAGTAGGGTAAAATGATTTCATAAATTTTTCTAAATAATGTGCTTGCTTTTTTTAATCATGATTTTGCTAATAGTGACTAGATCTAATATTACTTAGTGTTTTTTTAATTGATTGTCTTCAAATTCTTAGATGGAGTATGCTATGTATTTGATGAATAAATTTTCAACACTAAAATAAGGAGGATATATGGGATAGATTAATATGAACTCTTGATAATGAAAACCTGAGGCTATATGAGTTGTTATACCTGCATATATTGATATTCACTTTTTGGATTCCAGAAATAAACAGGTGGCTTACAGATAATAAGATTGAGTCAAATAATGTTTTCTATTGGAACATTACATGGTACAAAGCTGAAAGTGCATTCGTTATATTTTTAAGGGTGTGAAATAAATGATATATTATTAATCTGTTCTACTTTTTTTTTCATTTCAGATTCGAATCAGTACTGTGATACTGATAAGTATAGTACGAAGAAAGGGAGCAGGTGTAAAAGTTGTGAAGGGCCCTGTGAACAAAAAACAGATATCTGCACCAAGTATTGTCTGTGTAAGTTGATAATCAATATAATATTATGTATGTTTCAGAATCTGGATAGCACACTTGTTTGATTCCCAAAATTAAGTAATCTGAGGGTCCCCAAGCCCTGAGATGATAAAGAAATTCTCCGAGCTCAAACTCAAATCTCAGGTATTTAATTGGTCAGAAACTGTCCCAGAATGTACATTGACCAATAAAAATCCTGAGATTTGAGACAGAACTCCGACAAAGTTTTACAAGCTCGAGGCCAGGTTTAATGAGTCAGCAAGATATTGAGAACTTTAATACACCCTATTAGGATTTTCTTTTAATCTTTATTTCATCCATTTGACCTCACATTAAATTCTTTTAAATAATATAAGCCCCAAACAGTGATTTTAACTGTCAGGTTAGCTTAATAGGTAGAGCACTGGACATAAATTGAGTGACCAGGGTTAGATTCTTGGACAGTACACGTCACTTTCCTTGTGATTTATCAAGAAAATCCTTTCTACTGTCGTTCACAATGTACCTATTTCCTGGCATGTACAGAAGTTATCAGTTCCTTCCAAATGTTTAGGCAACTAGTACTGGTAAACTGCTTGACAGTCTGCCCAGGAATTATCGATGTAGTTGTTAATTTGTGCTTAGGTGAACTCAAAGCTGCTTACTGCCTTAATCCGGAGGGTAATCTAAGAGTGATTGCCCTAATGTCTACTTGACTTGCATGCATTGTCAGAGAGATGGATAGAAGTTAAAAAACTGACTTTTTTCCATTACAACAAGGGGTTGGATTTGGGTTGAGTTTATTACTGACAGGTGCATTAAAGCTAAATGTAACCTGCACTTTTCTTATAGTTACGTAACAGTTTGTTTAAATCTTATTTTATTGCAATTATTTTATTAAAATTTTGTTGAAAGAAATCTTTTATTCAAAGCCATAAAATTTTCTTGCAAATTTATTCAACACATTTACTAGACAGAAATTTTTTGACTAATTATAACTTTGTTGTTGTTATTGTTGTTTCAACATCAACAAGTGCAAGGTATAGATTATGAACAAATATACTTTTTTCAGTTGAAAGACCAAAGCCTGACTTAAACAATTTAAGTGAACCAAATCATATGACAACTGGTGGTGGCCACATGGTTGGTGGCCATGTGAAAGGAACAATAGAAGACAAAAAAGATTTGGCCGTGCATGCCATTTTGATAGCAATTGCAATCCTATTTGTGGCCCTTTGTAGTGATTTTTTTTGAAAGATGGAAATTTTGAGAAAGGGTCATCGGTCAACTGACCCAAGGCACTCAGAACAAAAACCCTTCAAAAAACCCCTGCAAAAATTTGGACACTTTGGTGTAGATAAGTTTCCAGAAAGCAAACGGTTTAGCCCAAAAAAATAAATACAGCATTTTTCTTTTATCTTTTTTTCAAAATAACATTTTAATGTTTATTTTTTAACTTTAAAAAATGTTTTTAAACCAGTTTTTTAAAGAAAACCCTTTAAAACATTCCCTTTTTCCAAGGGATGGTTTTTTTCTTTGTATTAAAACCCAAGAAAATCCTTTCTAAAAGACATTCAAACTGTACACTGTGCCCCCCCTTTAGGGCATGTACAGTATTATCGCCCCTTGAAAAGTAAAGGTAAAAGTATTTGGAAAAACTGTTTGGGACAGTTTTCCCCAGGAATGTTTGCAGTGGCTGAACTGTGCTCTGGTAAATTATAAGTTGCTTACTGCCCTGATCAAGAGGGTTATTTCCAACAGTAACCACCAAAAGTGATATTAAATATATAATATTTAAACACATGAAAAAAACACTGCCGTTTAGATTGTTTGTGAAAGGTTTGACATTATTAGAGGGGGTTGGGGGTAGTGACCAAAATCAACAAACCAAACACTTGTGATACTTAATTACCAGCCTTTTTTCCTGAGAACCAGAAACAATTTTTTTGCCTAATAAATATTTATGAGCCTTCAGGAAATCCTTTTATAAATAAATTGATTTCATGCATGTTAATGACTTATGAATAAGTCATTATAGTTTTATTGATCAATCTCGCTGGGCCCTAAATAGATAATAAGGGACTGAAATAGATATTAGGGGACACTGGGGCCATTTGCCTGCAGAAGGGGAATTCAACATTTTTAAAGATGGAATTTTATCTGTCAACAGTAATACTCATAATGTTAATTAAGTATTGGATATTCTATTTTACAAAAGCAAAGTTTAATAACATACATTGAAGGAATTTACTTTGTCTTCCAATGAGAAAAATAAAAATAGAATTAATTTTGGCCCCAGAAATGTTAAAATAAAGGCCAGGCTGCATGAATACTTTATGACTTAGCAATTGATTTCAGATATAATATATGCCGCGTCACAACAAAACAAACATAATGGGTTTGCGACCAGCATGGATCCAGACCAGCCTGCGCATCCGCGCAGTCTGATCAGGATCCATGCTGTTCGCTATCAGTTTCTCTACTTGTAATAGAGTTGGAAAGCGAACAGCATGGATCCTGATCAGACTGCGCGCAGATGCGCAGGCTGGTCTGGATCCATGCTGGTAGCAAACCCATTATGTTGGTTTTGTCATGGCGCAGGTCATATATGAAAGAATAGCAGTGATTAAAACGGAATGTTTTTCAGTATGTAGAATATATGTTGTATGTGACACAAACCAGTTACCTTAAAAATGAATGACACAACCTGAAGTTTTTTATAATAGTCTCCTAGTGTCAGTTGGTAGATTCATTTAACACATTTGAGTTGGGTAAAGGGGGGTTTGGCAGAAAATTAAAATAACATGCAGTGTGGTGGCATTTAGCACTGATTTAACCATCTTAATGTTTTTGCAAGGTGTTTTTTTTTTGTGGGTAATGGTTGGAAAGGTGAGTAATTAAAGAAAGTAAGGTACATTTGTGTTAAGTTGCAAATGACTGGTGCAAAAAAAAAAAAAAAAAAAAAAAAATGACTGTTTGTCATGTTCTTGTTACAGGATGAGTGTCAACCATTCATTGAAAGGTCAAGGACAGGCAGCTGAGCAGTGACCATAACTCCTGCTGAGACCATTGCATCAAATGGAATTCCTGTGACTTGAAGAATGACCACGAATGGAATTTAAGATAAGTCATAAAGAAAATATTGCCTCTATTTAATATACATGTACTTAGTATAATATTATCCTATGGCTTTTTAGCAAAATAAAGTTGAATTTATGATGGTTGTGTTATTGTGATTGTTGTCGTCGTAGTTGTCATTGTGCAAAATTTAACGAAACATTTTGAAATCTATGAATGCCAAAACTTGGAGTACTTGCTTATCATTGCATGCGCAACAGTAAGGCAAGAGGCATCATTCTGAAAGTTATATTTTTGAAGTAATGTCTCCTTGAAACTTCAAATTTTGTTTGAAATTGTTTTACTGAAGTAGGATGAATACAAGAACTATAAAAGGTATCGACATGGAATTTGGAACACTTAGTTATCACATGACACAAGGACTTGCAAGATAAGGAGCATTGTTCTGTAAAACATTTTTTGAATGAGTTATGCCCCTTAAAAATTTATAACTTGGAATATAAAAAAATATTGTTAAACTTTCATAAAATGATAGTAATTGCCCTTAAAACAGAGTAGTATTACTAACTGCATTGCAGTTCTTTTGTTTGCTTTTGATGTGTCTGTGTTATTAAGCAATTGCAATTTACCATCAGCTGGAAGCAATTTATAGTTGTAAATCTAAGGAGATCATGCCTATCATGAAATGATCGTGTGTGAAATACTTTTCTGCCTAGCAGTTTATAGATTATATAAAAATGTGGTTGAAATTATATTTTTAGGATATTTCTCCTTGTCACCAGGGAGCATTTACAAGGTCCTTATTCCCAATCCATAATTACTTTTTTTCTGGGAATTCAGGTAAAAAATCCTGTAAAAAAAAAAAAAAAAAAAAAAACCTGTTTCAAATTTTGTCAGACATTGAATTCCTTTGACTTGTTTCCTAAAAGATTTATTGTATGATAATATAAATGAAAAAAAAAACATAAAAATTTTCCATAATTTTCTTAAATTTTTCCAAAATGCTGAATATTTCCCCCAAAATTTTTTGGCCCAGGGCCTTTAAAAATCACCTCCATAAAACATGAAAAAGGTCTTGAATTAAAATGTTAAAACAATTTTGGAAAGAGAAAGGAAAGTAAGTGAACAAAAGGAAAACAAAAACTAATTGTTTTAAAATCACAAAAAAAATAACTTACTTCATGATTTTTCAAACAGTTCACAGTGTTTGATTAGTTCACAGGTTTTGTGTTTCTCATGTTCACAAGTCATTACAATTTTTTCAATTTAACAACTTTGAGAATTGTTTCATAAATTATTATATACCCACCACCAAATGTGGGGGTGGGGGGCTATAATGGATTTGCCTTTGTCGGGGTCGTCATAGGTCGGTCCGTCGCCGGTCCGTCTCCATTTTCGTGTCCGCTCTATAACTCCTATACCAATTGAAAAGATTTTTCTTTCAAACTTGGCTCAAATGTTCACCTCAACAAGGGGATGTGCAGAACCCATGTTACCCATGTGTCAGCTCAAGGTCAAGGTCACACTTGAAGGTCAAAAATTATACTTAGAAATATTCTTAAATTTTAACATTTATTTGAATATTTCAGAATCTAGAGAAGGTATTTGCTTTGAAAACTTGAAATATATATGAAGTGTTACAATTAAGATATGCTGGTCAAGTTTATCAAACAGTATTGCATTTTAACAAAGTTATGCCCCTTTTTAAGTGTTAAAATTTTACATGCAATCAAATATTAGGACAATATGTCGTGTCCGCTCTATAAATCCTATACTAATGAAAAGAATTTTCTTCAAACTTAACTCAAATGTTCACCTCAACAAGGGGTTATTGTGCAGAATCCATGTCACCTTTGTGCCGGCTAAAGGTCAAGGTCACACTTGAAGGTCAAAATTGACTTAGAAAATGTTCTTAAATTTTTAACATGTACTTGAATATTTCTGAAACTAGCCCACAGGCATTTGCCTTTGAAACTTAAAGATATATGAGGTGTCGCAAATAAGATATGCAGGTCAAGTTTCATTACTCTGTATTGCATTTT